TTTCGATCCTATTCAACCTTCTTTAAAATATTCATAAATCCAAACGCACAATGAGAAATTTAGCGTTAGCGTTACAAGAGTTGCAATCAACCTAAACTTACCCCTTCAATGCAGACCAATATGAATGCACTCTGCAAGATTATGGCCTACCACGTGATGAGCACTCAATTCAAAAAGTACCTCACAAAGTAAAAGCACTCAAACTTGTCCTCAAATTTGAACTTCAATCCATTCATTCATTACCTTATCATTCAATCCTTTACGAAATCTTGAAAAGTGACATAATTAACTATAGTAAGTAGTAGATAAATTTGAATTTATCAACTCAAATATAGATTAAAAGTCGAAGAAACTATGTATATCGCGTTCAATCAACATATAAAAGTAAAAATTTTAACATTTTGATCGATAATGATTGAATTATACTCATATTAACACAGCAGTACAGAACAGCATCGTTTGAAGATACCAAAATAAAGTGTGTTGAGGAGGAAAGATGAAGAAGAAAGTGATTAATTGGTCTTAAAATAAGAGAAAATTAAAGTTAAAACAAAGAAAAGCCCGCGTTTGATACCCAAAATTTGTCAGCTTCTTTTTCTCTGTTAATTGCAATTCCCTTTTGCTTTGCTCTCTTTCCTTCTTCTCTCTCACTCTTGTGCTGCTCTCTCTCAGCTCTGCAATGTTATCGAGCAGTTTATGGGAACTACCCTCTTCCTCTGCCATTTTGTACCGCTTTCTGACGCTATTCTCATTTCTCATCTCCATTTCAGCCGCTTGTTTTAATGGAAATTGCCAGGTTCTTCCATTTCTTTCCACTGAATCTCGATAGGGGTTTTTTTTTCTTCTATCATTCTTCCCTTCTGGGTTTAGATTAAACTATGAGAATCTGCAGGTTATGGAAGCTTGTACGGCTGCTACGGATTGTGGGTCAGGTCTCTACTGTGGGAATTGTCCTGCTTCTGGCCACAATCAACCCGTTTGTACTAGGGGCCAAGCAACCGTTCCCACTTCTGTTGTATGTTTCTTTGTTAATAGCTTCTTTGAATGGAAGATTACTCGAACGATCCTTTGCGATTTTCTGTGATTTTGATTTGTTTTTTATCTTTCTTTGCGATTAGATTAATGGCTTGCCCTTCAACAAGTACACTTGGTTGATGACTCATAACTCGTTCAGTATTGTTGATGCACCGTCTTTGGCTGGTGTTCAGAGATTGACGTTTTATAATCAAGAGGATACTGTAACTAATCAGTTAAGAGTATGTGCTTCGATTTTGGAAGACAGATGTGCTTTCTCTTTTACTTCATAAATTTGTTCTAATCTCAGAGATGTTCTTCATCTTTTACTCTGTTTGTTGCATTTCAACTCTTTAATTAGTAAGCATTGTTGATATTATGTTTTCTTTTGTTTATCCTTCTTTGTTCAGAATGGAGTGCGGGGACTGATGCTGGATATGTATGATTTTGAAAATGATATCTGGCTCTGCCATTCATTCAGGGGGCAATGTTTCAACTTCACTGCCTTTGTAATCAATCTTCTTCAATCTTACGTTACTTTAGATATCAATTTTGTTTTGGCTTTTGGGTTTGTAAACAAGATTGTGACTATCGGTCTTTGAATGTTCTTAGCAACCAGCAATTAACACTTTAAGAGAAGTGGAAGCATTCTTAACTGAGAACCCAACTGAAATTGTGACCATTATAATTGAAGACTATGTGCTTACTCCAAAGGGGTTGAGAAATCTATTCACCAGTGCTGGGCTGGACAAATACTGGTTTCCTGTATCCAAGATGCCAAAGAAGGGAGAAGATTGGCCTACAGTCACTGACATGGTGCAGCAGAATCATCGGCTTCTTGTTTTTACATCTATCGCGTCGAAGGAAGCCGAGGAAGGAATTGCTTACCAGTGGAAGTACATGTTGGAAAATGAGCGTAAGCATTAAGTGAATGCAATATTCATTATTCATGACTTTGAATTTTGTCTTGATGATGAACAATTTCCTTATCTTTGGATTTCAGCTGGTGATCCTGGAGTTGTAGTTGGTTCATGCCCGAATCGAAGAGAGTCAAAACCGCTGAAATCAAGAAGTTCTTCTCTATTCCTCCAGAATTACTTCCCAACATATCCAGTGGAATCTGAGGCTTGCAAGGAACATTCAGCTCCACTCTTTAATATGATCTCCACATGCTATAAAGCATCTGGGAATATCTTGCCAAACTTCTTGGCTGTTAACTTTTACATGGTATTGAGTTTAGTACACGTAAAAAAAACGACTATTGACTCAAATTTACAATGACTAACATATCATGATGAAAATCATGCAGAGAAGTGAAGGTGGAGGAGTCTTTGATGCTTTGGATAAGATAAACGGCCAGACGCTATGCGGGTGTAGCACACTTGCTGCCTGCCAGGTTTGTTTAGACTAGTTTTCTAATTAGTGACTATATTGAAGTTTATTCATATGAACTTGTATATGTTTGGTTATCAAAATTCTTGATTTTGTATCGGCATTTGCGTTTCTTTGTTCGAGTTGTCTTTTATTTCTCAAATTAGTCTCTTGTTTTAGTCTGCTAAACAATGGATTTCTGCCATATATTTCTTGTAATCTTCTCAATGACCATACCTTCTAGAGAAACTCGTGAAAAAGTGATCTCTAGTGGTCATCAAATTCAGAAACATTCATTGCCCTTCATGATCTGCTAGCAACAGCTTCTATTAGGGAAAAAATGACTAAAATGTTTCAATTTTGTTGACATTCTATTCTTGGACAAAGATAACAAATGAAATGTTTCAACTTTATATATTTCAATAACGGTGAAATTTTTGTTTTGGGAACATCAAAAGCTTTAAACATTTGATTATCTTGCTTCTGTTATTGATACCATTTTCAGAAAAGTTTTAGCAAGCGATTCGTGAACGAAAAAGCCATGTTTTAATTTTAGGAACGGATCAAATATGTTTTCAGCTGTTATAAGTTAGCAGTTCTTTTGTGCTTGCCACAGCAGTTAATTGAACTAGTTTAGGTTCCATTTTGGGGAGTTATCCAAGATGTTTAATCTGGTTGCTGGCTTGGTACATGATTTGCCTCTTGCTTACCGATAATGTCTTAAGTACTCATTACCCAAATTACATTATTGATGGCTTTTGCAGGCTGGAGCTCCTCCTGGTACTTGCAAGAGTATTCCAGCCCCTAACACCGGTCCATTGAGCAGTACCACTGGTAGCTTCACCGGGTCTGTTCAGTTCACGAAACCGTCTGCTTCGACAGTCCATTCGCCGAATCTTATGGTTCTCTGGTTATTCTACTTACTATTGTTGGCATTCTTAAAAACAACAATCAGCACTCATATAATTGGCTTTTGAGCAACCATTCACGGAGGTTAGTCTAGTATATTGTATGTAAAGATTGAGTCATACCCAGTATACTGCATCCCAGCCATCCTATAGCAATATCTAAAATTGGTTAATAGAGTAGAAGACTCTAACATTAAAAAGAAAGACCATTTTGAGATTTTCATTCAGAGAAGGTAAGAAGTTGCGGAGGTACAGTAGAATCAGAAACCGAAGTGGACCTGGCAGACAGCATGAGCTATTTCAGGTATGCAAAATTCTTCACCATATCACACTGGCTTTGTCATTGTACTATCATACCATGTTTTCGACACCCTATGATATATCACTTAATTTTCGTTAAGATTTGTTTTAGCTTTCGTAATGGTTTCGCTAAGTGTTTAAGCTTTCTTGACGTTGTTAGTCACTTTTATTCGAAAAGGATATGCAGATCTTATTTTTTAGAACTATATGTGACAATTTGGATGGTTGAATTTCTTTGACAAGAAGATTGGAGATCAGGAGAAGCTCCTGTCTAGTTATTATTTGATATTTGAATCCTTATTAGAGAGTTGTTTTTATTTTTCAAGTATATGATTCAATGGGACGGGTTAAGATATATTAAGATAGATGTACTTGACTAAAAGGTTAGAAGTTCGAATTCTTGCTCTCAAATCTTTAAAAAACTTGTGATTTTTTTTTTTTTTTTTTTGTCGTATATTTCATCTCGTTCTTCTCCTATGCTATAGTTATTTTTCTATCATTTTTTTCTTACATAAAATCCATGTGTTCTTAGCTTAAATAGCAAAATTTGGTCCATATGATTTAGATAAAGTTAGAATTTAGTCTCTAAAAGTTAAAATTTCATCTTCATAGTGTGATAAAATTTCATAAATTGTATTTGTTTCAAAAAGTCTCATAAATAGTCGTCTTTACTGTTGGGAACGAGGATTTAGCAAACAATTATAGGGACTAAATTCTAACTTTGTTCGACTGACTTATATTTTCTTCTTATTATCATTTTCTTCTTATTATCGAATTTGATTTTTGTCTCTCTATTTTAGGTTTCCTTGCTCGGAGGCAAAGTGAAAAAAGTGGGTTGGCATGAGTGGCTGTAATGCAGCCGATCATCACTTATGGATTGGATTATATTGATGAGTAGTTAGTATCCTTTTGTTTTTCGTGGGTTGCTTCCCATCTTAAATGGATATTTGTTTCAGCCACTTCATTAGCACACACACCATTAACGCACCCTACTTTTAAACCCATCTCTTTCAAAGAGACTTCTGTTTGTGTCTTCATCAACACGTTTAGTTAAATTAAACTTTGAGATGCATATTACACGCAACAATATCGCTCTTTTGCTATTCGTTCACTGGCCTTCATCGGAAAATGTTTCATTTACATGCCCTTCGTGTGTGTGCGCGTGTGTTCGTGAAAGCCAAAGATCGTTTAATCAATGAAGCTTTGATAATTTATACATGTTTGAATATGTACAAAAGCGTTCAAGCATTCCCGACTATTGAGTTTAAATCCCACAAAAGCTGGAGTGAGAATGCAATAGAAGAGCAAACTAGTTCATCTAATACAATAGTCTAATATATTTTATCTATTGAACTATGCTCGAATTGAATCGATCTCGAGATTTAAGAACCAAGAAATACATTCATAAGGATAAAAGGATAATTATCCCAAAAATAAGCAAGCTGAGTTTTTACACATCATTATATTTACATCAGGAGAGTATATAGTTTAGTTTCAAATGATCTGAAAGTGCTATCCTCTCAGGGAAATGACAAATCAACATTTAATGGAAGGAGGGCAAATACAAAGATGAAGACATGCATACAATAGGCTTTTACAGGATGCGAATATTTAAGCATATTTCACAGAACAGGCCACATAGAGTTTAGGAGCAGACTTCTTGATTTTATTTGGAGTGATGGACTTATCGCAACCAAACCAATGAAGCAATCTACAGGAACCCTCATTCCCCACACATTTATCGACTCGAGTTTGCGACATTTACTTACGAGAATAAGAAGTCCAGTTTCTGTAACATGGCGACAACTCCAGAGGCCAATGGTCTGCAGAATACATAAAGATATGTGCCGATTAAAGATCGTGCGAGACATATAAGTATAGCATATGATTAACACTCTATTGGAAGACATGGTCACCTTCAAATTTGGACAGTTATCCGCGATTGCGAATAGAGAGACATCTGTGACAAATGTTCCACCGATATTCAGGTTTTGCAAGGAGTTAGCTCGGGAAATCTGGAAATAGAACCAAATGCAGTCTTAGAATGAACTACGTAGACATCAAAATATTAAATGGGAATGCTTAAGAGGCTATTTAGGAGCTGTTTCATAATAGCTTTTAGTTTTTCCTGCATTATAGAACAAAAAAAAGAAGTGAAACATGTCTGGATTAATATTTTTTGAAAGTTGTTTCTTGTTTTTTCTCTTATGAAGAGCTACTTTTAAGAACAAGTGGAAACGTACTTCCACAAATCACCCTTGGCCTTAACAAAAATTCTGAAGCAGAGAAAAAAAAAAAAGGTTTCTTAACCTGGTGCTTAGTTTTCGAAGATGGATTCAAGAAGATCCTGAGGAATTTGACAATACTGAAAACTTACTGGAACAGAGAAATGAAGATATGAACAACAGAAATCCTCCAAGAACATGTAATACTTAAATTTACTAGTTCAATTTCCAGCTTAACTCATACTCTAGTTTACAGATTCAGGCTGATTTTAAGGGCTATTTCTTTAGGCATAATTGGTCTGGAGATAAGATAATATCATACCAGCTGCACAACGCCTTTGTCGGTAATCCCTGCCATACCCCATAGCGAAATGGACTTGAGGTTGGGAATGCACTTTGCAAGAGAGATTTCATGCAATCCATGGTCTGTTATTTGACAACCCCAACGGCTTCTTGAGCTGAAAAACACATAATTACAAGAGAATGATGGATTAGTCGGCATTTTGCTCGAGTTGACACAAGAACAACAAAGACAGCCATGGCCGTGGACTACTTGGAAACGATGCAAACAACCAAGCTTTGATACATATACTCTGTTTTATCTCATATCCTTTGAGTTACTCTCATAATGTTCCCTTATTTGAGAATAACTCAACCAAGAACATGAGCTATAACCACCAAGAACATAACAAAGCTTTATAGAACAATTTTAAAGAACTTTCTCCAGAAGTACGCCCAAACAACATCTCTTCCTACGTTCTAAGACTCAAATCTTAAGAGAAACCTCCGTTTGCTTGGTTCAAAATCAAGTTGCCTGACTAATGATAAACAGAGAATGAGAATCGAAGTCTAATTGAATTGATTATCCATGCAATGTCGAAAAACTCGCTTTGTCTCCCAGATCACAACATCAATACCAAAATTAACCATCTGTAATCAGAATCCACTTGAAGAAAAGCAAACAGAAGCAATTTTCTTAAGAAAACTGAAATTCTAGAAGGAAAGAGGAATTACATGTCGAGTTGTCGAAGACTGTAGGCATGGTGAATAAGGCGAGCAGTGGAGTAATCATCCATCTTCCAACCAGCAAAACTCAAACTCTCCCTCCTACCAAGAGACAGTTTCACTCCTTCCTTCCATTTCCTACAGACGCCGCACGCCCTGCGTTTTTTCCGGCAAATATTCGCAGAAACCCCCAAAATTAGGAACAATAACAAAATTAATCGAACAAAAAGACATTCATAAGCAGAAATTAGCATCGATTACTGAGCCAAATCAGTGAAGGACGGGATCATCGCGAAAATATGAGCCAGTAGGTCAATCGGCAAGCGATCAATCTCAGGCTCCAACTCCATCTCGATCGGCCACATATCACCCGAACTCATTCCTCTCCGCTCCTCCTCCAGAAGTTTATCGTTTGACGCAGTGTTGAAAACCCAAAACGTGCGGAGAAAAGTCAAGCGTTCAACTCGTTACTGCACAGGAGAACCAAAAAAAGAGCAGGCGGAAGATTCTACCGGGGAAAGGAGAGAGAGAGAGTGGATACTGGCTTCATATCGCCACCATTACAAGAATCTGAGCTCCAGTCGCCACGATGGCGTTCTGATCTCTCATGGCGCTCGATTATCCACTGGATTGACCGTTGAAATTTCATGGACAAATTCAATAACTACTTTTTTTTATCATTAATATCTAATTAGTCTAATTCAACTAAAATAATAGCATTTTAATTCATAATTAAGTTTTAATTATTTAATTTGAGTACATGGAACCTACGTAAGCCTTCTTTATTGGTGGGTTGAATTTGGTAATTTTTTTTCAACCAAAAAATCAAGTATATATGTTTTTAATAATAGTATAATATTAGCGTGTAAAACATGTGCTAATTTAAGATTTACCATTCAAATATTTAAAAAAAAATTATATAATCCAATTTCAAAAGAATTTATGAATCATCCGAGCCTATAATATTTTCATTTATTTAAATTCAACCCGACCTCACCCAAATAAGTTCAAAACTCAATCAAAATCGTACCACTTAAGTCGGGTTGTTTCCAGACCATCAAATTTTTTAAACACCTTTTTTTTTCTTTTTAATTTTTAATTAAACATATACTAATAGATTTTATTTTATTTTATTTTATATTTCCAATGGTCGAGGTTATCCACACTAAAACATAAAAGTTGGAACTTTAAAAAACTGTGTAAATATTTATTGATATAGATATTTAATTGGTTAAGACATATATTATCGACTTTAATAAGGAATCGAGTTAAAATACCCTTTTCGACCTTATTAAATACCATATACGGCTTCGCTAATTTTGAAAATAAATTCATAATCTCGCACTAAAAAAATACCCTAAACCCTAAATTTTGTCTCTTGAATTTCTTCCATTAGAAACCCTCCACATTTTGTTCTACCAAAACTCTATTTTCTTCTCCACAAATGATAGCCGTAGGGTCAGATGTGTTTGGTGTCCCAAAATTTCGTCCATTGTGGCTGTGATGCCGCCATTGTTGACCTTAAAGCTTCCGGTTGCAAAAGCAGGAAAATAGTAGCGGCGGAAATGATGGCACTGAGGAGGTGACAATGCCCAAATGCAAACTTCTCATACTCTCCAACCTTTTCACTCTTCACTTTAAACTTTTGATCAACCAAACAATAATACCAAAAATGTTTTCAATATTCAACCTTATAATCGTTCTTAATTCAAACGTGCAAAACAAGAACAACCCACGCTCCATTACTTATGTTGGATTTATGCAAATTGATATTCTTTTCATGTTAACTACGGTGGACAATTTCATGCTTAATAATTAGAATAAATGAAGCAATTAATAAGGGAATTGGTGAGAAAGAGCACCAAATTAACTACAAAAAGGCTCGCTATTACTCTATTTTTAGAGAGTTATTCGGTTTGAAGAAGAATGTCAACAACTGTATTATTGAATTAGCAGTTAAACAACAAATGTTTAGATGAAGCCTACAACTAAAAAAAAAAAATAGACGGGTCCTAAAATGATTTTAATTATGAATTTGTTAAATGGAAAAATCTACATTGCCTAAAAAATGTAGCTTGCGTCAGAGGATGGTATATGGGGCTGTTTTTCAATATGATATCCAAAAATAATTTGACATATCGGAGGTTTCATGTCTTAGTAGTACCAAGATGGATGGATGTTCAGAATGTCCTTACAATATAGTTGACTAAGGGGTCAATTCTCGATAATCATGTTTTGAGCAAGCAATGAAGACCGATGACATCCTGAGACCTGGGATGATATCACGTATCATGGGTTATGTTGATGGGAATGAAAATAACGAGATAGGATGCAAATTCCATTTAAAGGACTTTGGCCTGGAGTAGAGACAAGATTGAGTCAAAGAACTTAGCATAGAGTAGAGGCAAGACCGAATCACAGGATATGGCCTAGAGTAGAGACATGTCGATTGGAGTTACAATCGAGTGAACATGATGCACATGTTTGAAATTAGTAATTGAGTTTAGTTCAATAGGCGAAGAAGAACCTCACTTAAGGTATGACGAAGCCACAAAGTTGAACGAAAAATAGTAAATGAGTTTGAGTTTCTCTAAAGGTGTGTCATGATCATGTCGAAGTTATGACACCAAAGTTTGAAAATTACATCCGTGACAGTTGGTATAAGAGCCACACTTTATATATGTATTCAAACAAGAACGATTGAAAATGAACTCAGTGAAGACTTCACAAGTGCACCATGAGTGTTAGACTAGATAGGACAGTTGTGTTGTTAGTATTAGAATCAGTATTGGGTTGAAGCTAGGCTCCTCGATATTTAAGAGTGTCTTATGTTGACATGCTATGGGGGATTCTTACCCCTCGTGAATCACGAACCAAACTCATTTGTCAAAGGTTTGAAGACCCAAAAATGGAGAACAAATAATCAAAAAGTGTACTAGGTAGGGTACTCTCCAAAGAACCATTACCATTAAAGTAATAGTGTTAATGGTTACAACAAAACAAGTTGAGGGTCAAGTGAGACATGCGCCACTAAAGTGTCAAGTTATGTACAATATAGGTGGACATGTCACTATCGATAGAACAACGAGTTGAGTGAAAATGAGCTGAGCAAATGGGTTGCTTACCCTAGAAAGAGAACTTAGTATTTTACATTAATTTATAAGACGTTCAAATTAGCTAATTTATAAGCATGATATATGTGATATGTGTAAATGATCGAAATACCCCTAAAAAGAGAACTTAGTATTCTACGTTATATAAGAAGATTCCACTATACCATGAACTTTGATATGAGTTAAAGAATTATGATTCAGGTGATTGACTAATTTAAATTCTTGTATGAGCGTGCATAGATGAACTAAGTTAAGATAAAGGCGTTGGAGCTAGTACGGTTTCACAATGACTAAGGTCGGGATATTTCTAGTAGACCGAGCACCAATGGATGTGAGAGGCAATTGTACCTCTCATTAAATTGGCATTCAATGGTGTGAATGTACCTCTCATTTACTTTGGTTGTAATATTCAAAGTTTCGAGCCTTTCAACACCTAAAACTCCAAGAACATTGGAAAGAGGGAGTCTACGTCGGGTGGCAGTGTCTAAAACAACTTGAATTCCTAATCTATTTTTTCGACCTCACCACCACCACCACCACGAGTCCCTTTATGAGGAATTAACCCTCTCCACCATATCAATGCTCATGTGTTCATCAGAGAGATTCTTCGGTCGTCTCTTTTATTAGATAATTGTTGAATTCTTCTCTGCCTATATTGAATATACTCAACGGTCTCATGCATGTGGTTCGCTATGGACCGCTTTCCCTATAGAAAAACGATGGGGTCAGTGAAAATATTTGTTAAAACCACCAATCATTCGAAAGAGCAATAAATTGATATAAGATATTTGTGTTTAATAAAAAGGTTAAATATGTTACATCCACTGGGCATATAGCCATTCCAAACCCCTCTTACTTCTTTCCTATTAGATAGACCTTTACTATTTTTTGATGTGTCAATACACAGTGTGTATGACCGGTTACCAAAATCATGTCTACACTCGCAAGAGCTAAAATGCCCAAAATGTACTACAGAGTGATGTGACTAGTTGTCAATTCTTACTGCCCGGTTTATATGTTATTGAAGTTGTTGTTACTTATTCACTTTTAGCTTGTGACATTGATTTATTTCAAATTGTTCTCTGACACATGTCCTCGCACATGTTTTCAAAAATATATTTCTTTCAAACGTAACTCGAAGCTCGATCATACACTAAAAGTATCCACAAAATTCAACTTTCTACTAACTTGTTCGTCGGGTTAAAACAAGTGTCGCACAATCACTGTCTCATGTCACAGGAGTGCGATTGTGACACCCAACAAATCAAATAAATATTTTTCTTTTCACTAATTTGTTCAATTCTTACACCAATTTCTCCGCAACTAAATGGGTGAACAATGATAGCGGGTCGAACGCTTCATATACATTAGACACTGAGAATGTTTGGTTAAATCACCATACCTAAATGTGTGCGAAAGTTATCTATTTATAATCAAATAAATTATAAAGATATGAAAATAGTAATGAAAGAAACAAACCATATATGGAAGATACATACGGTAAAAAGATAAATATCTAGATATTTACCTATAATAAAATATATATGTTAAACTATAATTCAGAACTAAATATCCTCAAGATTTGTCCATATATAACTACAATGGTGAGGAGATGTACACCATATCTTCCTCCTAACGAGATTTTGTCCAACCGACATTTAGAAGAAAAGGAAACAAAAACAAACACGACTAGACTTATCGTTATGGGTGCTTAACGCTACTGGTTGTTCCTACACCACGAGGGTACTGATTTACGACTAGAAGTACTAGCAAAGCTCCTGGGACGATTTCAAATAAAGATTTACAAAGTCTTCTCTCTCGGAAGCGAGGATATTTATTTATTTTTAACTATTATTAAAAATATGAAGTTTGCCTAATTTATGCTTAAAATAAAAAGAAAAAGAAAAAAATACACATAATTCCAACCTTGATTTGGTGGTCACTTTCTCTCCTTTTTCGCTGTCTTTAACGGTCTCACTCCCATTCTCCCTCTCTCGTGGGTGGATGTATATCGACTTCCGATGTCAATGTTGTTATCAGCCTTCGTCTATGCTAAAAGCTTAACCCGAGTTTGCTTTCTCAGTTTTGCTCTGTAATTGTTTTGCTCCGTAATTGTTTTGCTCCAAAGTTCAATTCATTGTGTTGTATTCTCGAGTTTTTCTTGTTTTCCCGATGGAGGTGAAAGTGAACGGGCCTGGAAATGGCGATTGTTCGAGTCGGCTTGTGGATGGACCTACCAACCCCATGGTTACTCCTTTGCTAACCGATCTTTATCAGTTCACTATGGCTTATGCTTATTGGAAAGCCGGCAAGCAGAACGAGCGAGCTGTGTAAGTTCTTTCTTCTATGTTTACGCAATGCGTTTCTGCTGCTGAGAATTCGGAATTTATGCGAAAATGAAAATAGGTGTTTATGAAACCTTGTTTTGAATTGAAATCATGTGTTTCTTTCCTTTTGGGTGATCAATCTTAGCAGTGAGTGCACGAATTTGATCTTTAACTTTTTTCCCCGTATTTTGTTTGTTCACTAGTTCAGCTGTCGTTTTCGGTTTTCAAATTGCATGCAAGCTGCAACAGAGTTGGGGACTTGTAAAATTGAATCGAGGGGATAACGCTTTTATTGTTTGAATTTTTCTTTATTTTCTGTATTAAGAACATTAGCAGTTCGATGGGAATTGTGAGGAGTGTTAGATTCTGACTTTTCATGTTTCCCTCTCAGTTTTGGTGCATGAGGACTTCTATTTTATTCTTTAGGTCTCATTTTGTTAGATTAGAGCTCCATTTGTTTTAGTTTGCCTCTTTTTGCTAGGCTTTCCTTTTGTATTCCCTTTGTATTGTTTCTTTCCTTCGCCTGCATGAAGCTGGAATCGCTAGTAATCGCCGGTCAGTCATATGGCGGTGAATTCGTATCCGGGCCTTGTACATACCGCCCGTCACACTATGGGAGCTGGCCATGCCCAAAGTCGTTACCTTAATCGCAAGGAGGGGATGCTTGATGAAAATATGGTTTCCAATTTAAAAAAAGAAAAGAAAAAAAAAAGAGTGCGCGGTAATCAAATGATTCATTGAATCACTCATCCGCCAAGTTCATATGACCTTGAACGTTTGGCCTTGATTTTTTCTCCACTCTGTTGGTTTTGAGCTCTGTATTTATTTCCCATTTCTTGAAAACAAATGGTTATTCATATTCTCATATAAATTATTTATTAGCTCTCTTGGTGTCTTGTCTTTGTGAAGAAACACCTCATTGCTTGTAGGTAATAGATTAGTCTGGGTTGGAAATTGTTGTTTCAAACTTCTGAAGTGGAACTATCTGTGTCAACTACTATGGTTAATCATCACTTCGAAACCATTTTTCTTAGTGAACAGAATGCTTTGCTTTGAATGGCGAACCTCAATCTTCTTGTGCTGCGAGGTTAAACAATTTTGATGGAAATTGTTATGACTTAGATGCTCTAGGTGATACACTAGTCTTGTTTGGAGGTTGTTATTCCTGACTTCTGAAGTGTCTTAGTTACGTTAATCTTGAAAAGCATGGTAAGCTTCAAAAACTATTCACAAAACCCAACCTTTACTGGGATTTAAAATTAATATTGGCATTTAATTATTTGTTTGGACATGGGCTGCTTCTTACATTCTTTTCTAATAAACAGAACTAATTTCAGCTTTACTGGGATTATACATTTATTGCAATATCTAGAAGTTGGAAGTCTGCCTTTTCCAACCCGGTTGATTTTCCTGAGTAAACCAGAATTTTTCATTCTCATCAAAAGCTATATGGTCCCTCCAGCGCCTTATTAGTCATGTTTGGAAGTGTCTTTGAGGGAGAAAATATGCTTATTTTATTAGAATGTTTTTTTTTTGTTGTTAAATTTTTGTGGTTCAGGTTTGATTTATATTTTCGGAAGAGTCCTTTTGGTGGTGAATATACAGTTTTTGCTGGTTTAGAAGAATGCATAAGACTTATAGCTAATTTCAAATTCACAGAGGAAGAAATATCTTTTATCAAGAAGTCTTTACCTTCATCGTGTGAGGTAACCCAATTTATTGATTTGTTTGATTGGTAGACTTCGACTTGTACTTTATTTTACGTCGTAGACCACTTCATGTTTAAATTAATCAGATATTGCATTCTATAAGTATAGCTGCTTAAATAAATTAAAATTTAATTAAGATTGGCCACCTTTGTTCGACACAACATAGAAAGAAATGCACCATTACCTCTTAAGTCTTAATGATTATAAAGATAAGACATGCTAGATTTCACTTTTTAATCCCCAGAAATAGAAATACTAATTAACAATTGGATGTACCTAAGAGGCTTGGGATTCAACATACATAATAAAGAATTCCAAAATTTAACTCTTTGGGTGAGTATAAAATGTAGAATCTTTGTAACAATAACATATTGTCTCTCTACTTTGCTAATCAGTTGGAACTCTATCTCGTGATCCACCTTTGGTCGGGTTTTCATTTCATTTATCAACGAAATCTCTGCTTTTCTCTCTCTCTCTCTCTCTCAAACAAAACAAAACAAAAATAAAAAATAAAAAAATAAAATAAAATAAAGGAAAAAAAAAAGAGAAAAAAATTAAAGAAAACTAAAAGTTAATTAGTTTGGATTATCTTCCTTCTATTATATAAAGCACACACTATAGTTACACTAACATATCAACCGTATTAGTTACATTTAGCATGCAATTATGATAATTTGGTGATGCTCAATAGGACTTCTTGCTTGTTGAATTAACTCTTATTGGTTTTAAATATAATGCACTGATTATCTTAGAGGAGCTGATTGTTCTGATGCTGAAGAATTTTTATTGATCAAATCTAGGATGCATTCTACAAGTACCTTAGAGAAATCGACTGTTCTGATGTCGAAGTCTATGCTATTTCAGAGGGATCAGTTGTTTTCCCAAAGGTGCCCCTAGTAAGGGTCGAAGGGCCAGTTGCTGTAAGTATCAAATTTTGTTCTCTGATGAAATCGTTAACATTGGATTCAGAAACCTATTTTATTTCTTTGTATTCATCCAAAAATATCTTTATAACTGCATAAACAGGATATTCTTCATAAATTTATACTTGTACTTATTTTTATTTCAGGTGGTACAGTTACTAGAAACTCCATTTGTAAATCTTATCAATTATGCATCTTTAGTTGCTACAAATGCTGCTAGACATCGATTTGTTGCTGGAAAATCTAAACTTCTTCTCGAGTTTGGACTTCGGAGAGCTCAGGTTTCAATTTCTTTCATTCTTCCTTTCTTTTAAGTTTTGCATTTAGCTTATCCTCATCTAGAAGAAATCTTTACTTGGTTCTAGGGTCCTGATGGTGGAATTAGCGCCTCAAAGTATTGCTATCTTGGAGGGTTTGATGCAACAAGGTAACTTTTCATTTCTTCCTATATTCTTGCATTTGATATTTTTTCATATATTTTTCTTCCAGAGTACTAGTGAAGGAATGACCTTAATTTATGTAATTTCTAGCCTTATGTAAGTAATATTTGTGTAGTCTCATTACATAGGGGAATTAGTTAACCTCCCTATTTTCAATTAAGAATATAGAACAAGATAGTTTATACTTTTGGTATCAGAGCCTCTCTAGTCTTAGTCTAGAAACTCTGACAAAACCAAATCCTCATTCAATCGGTGAAGCCTTCATAGCTGTCGATCATCCACCGTGACCAAGTTTCATTCGGAGCCTTCATAGACATCGATCATCCATTGTAACCAAATTTCATTTAGATCGTGAATATTGTTTTTTTTTTTTTTTTTTTTTTTTTTTTTTTTTTTTT